AGGTATTTATCTCGAAAGAAAATGTTAATGTTTGACCCCGTCCCTATCAAACAAGAAGCAATGGAGCCAATTCCAGTGGTCAGTATTTAAAAAAGAGTATAAGTATTAATATTTATTCTCATTACATTGCAATAAGGCTGTGTGCAATGCTATCCACTTTTTTTTCCAGTTCTGAAAGATTAAAAATAGGGCAGAGATGACCAATTACACATTCTGAGCACTTATAATAAATAAACTGCATTTACATCAAAACTTCCTGCAGGTATCAAAAAGTGTTGCCTGTTTTCAGACACATTTGCTTCTGCAGAGATGTAGATTTGAAATATAATATTTGGATTAAGGGACATCCACAAAAAGAAAACATCTATGGGTATGAGAAAGAATAGAAGCCAATTTGGTGTAGAGATTAAGATGCTGCAAGCCTAGAAACAGGAGACTGGGAATTCTAGTCCTGCCTTAGGCAGGAAGGCTGGTTTATCGACTGGGTCAATCACCAGGAAACTGGGAGTTCTAGTCCCACTTTAGGAATGAAAGCCAGCTAGGTAATATTGGGACCAATCACCAGGAGAATGTGAGTTCTAGTCCTCTCTTAGACATGAAAGCTGGCTAGTTGACTTTGGGCCAATCACCAAAGTTTGATTTTGGGCCAATCACCAAGAAACTGGGAGTTCTAGTCCTGCCTTAGGCATGAAAGCCAGCTGGGTGATTTTTCAGCCAATCACTGCCTCTCAGTCCAACTCACCTCACAAGGTTGTTGTTTAGGGGGAAAATAGGAGGAGGAAGGAGTATTAGATATGTCCATTGCCTTGAGTTACTAATAAAATAAGAAAGGCAGGATAAAAGTCTAATAAATAAGCAAATCGTTTACTAGAGTGGAAATAAGTGTTGTGTCTGTGCAGTATTGTCATTTGTCATCTGGTTTTCAAAAATGTTTCTGTATATACAGTGGATTTCCTTTAATTTTAAGTCCAATGGAACTCGAGTTAGAGCATGACAAAAGCAAGTGGCAAGGAGTTCCTCTTCTCCAATGCATTTTTTTCCTTCCTCTTTTCCGCCACTGGTTTCCATTCATTCCTTTCCTCCTCCTTCTCTTCCGTAGTCCTTCAACTCCACGTACATGGACCACATGAAGTCCAACAAGTACAGCGTCATCTATTCCACCCCAGACATGATGCCCAATAAGTTCTACCAGATTCCAGAGGGACTGTGCAATGGGGTTCAGGTGGAGCCCGTGGACCTGACCATGAATAAGCGGAGTTCGCCGCCTTCAGCTGGACATTCTCCTTCCTCTTTCAAATTCCAGACTCTGCCCCAGAGAGCTTCCCCTGGGTTACTAAATCTTCCATCATCCAGCCCTCCCGTGAAGAAACTGGGTCTGCCTGGAATGCAGCCTTTCACGATGCCCTTGACAATTCCCCCAGTCATGGCGGCGCTTTCCCGTCACGGATTAAGGAGCCCTGGGATACTTCCAGTTATTCAGCCCCTTGTCGTTCAACCCGTCCCTTTCATGTACGCCCCGCACCTTCAGCAGCCTATCATGGTGTCCACCGTTCTTTCCGAAGAGTTGGAAAACCCAAGCAGTGTCCCAGGTAAACATCTGTCCTCGGGATCCCCCCCTCTGGGTTTGTTTTGGTCTTTTGTGGACTGTCTCCTCTTAATTTTATTTTGGGAATCTGTTCATCATCTACTTTAAATTTTGGCAACACCACTAGGGCTTAGACTTACATACCGCTTCACCGTGTTTCACAGATCTCTCTAAGAGTCAGCCTATCACCCCCAACAATCTGGGTCCTCATTTTACTGACCTTTGAAGGGCGAAAGGCTGAATTTACCTTGAACCGATGAGAATCGAACGGCTGACTGTCAGCAGAATTAGCCTGCAATGCTGCATTCTAACCACTGCATACCATGGATGGAAGGAAAGAAGGAAAGGAAGGAAGGAAGGAAGGAAGGAAGGAAGGAAGGAAGGAAG